CACCAATTTAGGGACCATTTTCATTTTTTTGTTTTCTCTGCAGATAATACGGACTGAACATATTTTTGAATTACTCTAATAAATGTTGCTTTTACCAGCCTCCTGCATATTGATTTGAAAGTAAATGCTACTTTGTTCAATGGGTAAATTGCTCGGGTTTATGCAGGCATTCGGGAAAAGGAATATAAGTAGTCATCAAATCAGAATGCTGTGACCATTTTTTTCTTGATTTCTGAAATTGATGTAAAGAGTGGATTTATCAAAAATGTTCTAGCTCCCATTGGTATTCTTCCAATAAATGAATGCTGTGCTATTGTCAGAAACAATTGGACCCTACTGAAGATGTTACCTAGTTTGGATAATGAAATGTCTGCAAGAACAGCACCAAAGCACCTCAGTCTTTACTTTTCTTTATCTGAAAAAATGAAAGGATTGGGATTATTTAAGCAAAGACTGTGGCAACCTCACCTTGAAATGTGAAATAAATGTAAATAATGAGCTATTTAAAGGAAAATCTTAGCGTGCTTGAGTGTACATTTGTCTACTAGAGTGATAATTGTAGGAGTGGCAATTTTTAATCTATATCTCATGATTTTCAGATGCTGAGAACAGACATTCTGTAAGTATATTTTTCATTTGACTGGTACATATTGGGAGAAGTGTTTAATATTTCACTTATCAAAACAGAAGCCAAGTTGTTTGGATTTAACTGTTACAGCCTGTTACATTTCATTAAGTGTATTCTGAATCTATCGGTTATTATATCAGAAATAAACAGAAAGAGATGTGATAAATTTAATGCTTGAAACAGTTTCAAGGATTACATTATGTTGAATTAGGAGCATGCAAGTTGAGTAATACCCAGCTTGTGTGTATATTGCATATTGTATTGTAAATTAGGGCAGTGTATGAAAAGCACAGTCCTAATCCACAATCCAATATACAATATACATACAAGCTGGGTATTAGTCCACTTGTATGTATATTGCCAACCATTGCCAACCTTGCTGATCCTGGCTATCCTAAGGATGTCTCTGCTGCTCTTGGCTGTCTAATGCCATATTACTGCTATTGCTTTGTCTGTGGTGCTGGAGACCACCGCGGGGGGGGGGGGGACACTCTAAAAAAGTTTGATAAACCAGTTAAAAGAAGCATGCAATAAATAATAGTAAAAAAATAAGGCCAACTAAATGCACATACAAAAAAAAGAGACTCTAGAAAGAGTGATGAATGGTTGCAGGAACTTGGTATGTCTAATCTCACAAAGAAAAGGACTAGGGATGACACAATAGCAGTCTTCCAATATTTAAGGGGCTGTCACAGAGAGGAGGGAGCCAACCAGGGGTGAAATGCTACCAGTTCGGACCAGTTCGCCCGAACCGGGAGTAAAAAATGCTACTGGCTCACGCGAACTGGTATTTCCAACGATCAGCTGAGTGACCATCAGCTGTGATGTGTGATTTATATTAGCTAGAATTGTTGGATTTCCTGCTTTCTAGCTAATATAAATCGTGCGGCACAGAGGATTCCCCCTACCCCCCTCCCACTGTTCTACTTACCTTTGCAGACTCGGAAGGCTCCAAAATATTCCTTTTTTAGCACATACGTGTAAAGTGCATGCTCGGTAGCAGACTTCAGAGGATTTCACTGCTGGAGCCAACCTATTCTCCAAAACACCAGGAAGCAGAAGATGAACCAAGGATGGGAACATATCAAGGCGAGATCCAATATAGAACTAAGGAGAAATTTCCTGTGAATGAGAACAATGAATCAATGGAATGGCTTGCCTCCAGAAGTTGTGGGTCACTGGAGGTCCTTAAGAAAAGATTGGACAGCTATTTACCCAGAATGGCATAGGATCTCCCGCTTGAGCAGTGGGTTGGACTAGAAGACCTCTAAGCTCCCTTCCAACTCTGGTATTCTGTATTCTATTCCTACAGTATGTTGCATGTTCACCCAGCAGTTGGTGATTGGACTTCCCAGTGTAGATGGCACTGAATGGGAAAAGAAAGGACATCATGGAATCTACAATCACTATCTGGAAGCTGCCTAGTATTATATTGTATTGGAGTAGCAACACTGCCTGGCGTCAAAGTTGATATGCCGTGTGGGGATCAGTAATATTAATGCTAATATATTTTCCAATTCAAGGACAGGGAGGAAAGCATAAAGATGTGACCCTGAGAAAGAACCCTGAGGGATCAGGAACTAGCTTCCACTGGAAAATAAGATGATTTTAATGTATCCTCTTGTCCTTGAGCTCTTTGTGTCCCTTTCTGAACTATTCTAGAGCGTCCTTCAACCCTCCAGAGCAATTTTTCAGTGGAACAAAGGAATTTGCAAACATGATCCCTCTCCTCCTTCAGCATCCTGTAATGTCTGAATTCAAGCCAACATATATTTAAGTTGAACGTTGCGAACACAACGTTCACAAATTCAGTCATGCAATCAACCGCTCTGGAGTCTCCTTTCCTGAAAGCTTTCTGTTGCAGCCTCGTAAGTCCTCACACTTACGAATGACAGCTCGGCAGCAGCCAGGTGCGTCTTAGCCAATCAGACGCGCCTGCCGGCTGCCGGGCTATCATACGCGAGGCTATTGGTTAAGCAGTTTGACAGCTGGGTATAAAAGGCTGTCAAGCATCGCAGACTCCCCAATCTACTTACGGTTACTGTTGCCAAACGTTCTTGTTCGAATAAATGGTTACTGTTACCTCAGACGCCTCCGTTTCTTCATATTGCCGATCTAACACTTTCAAGGATAATCTAAACTCCAGCCTGTCCTTTTATCTAAATCTTTCTGCTTCAGGATCTTTTCTTCAAAATTCAAGATTCAACTGATCAGCTGAACAACTTTGTTTATCACACAGTAATCTTGTTGAGAATGGTTGTATGACTCCTGTGGCCTGTTAAACTCTGTTGAGGTTATTTCTAACAAAGGAACAAGGCAGGTATTTGTGTGAGATGAGTGCTGTGCAGATCGCACAGTTACTGTAACTGGAGGGTTGCAGTTGTAAGCCATTTCACTATATTCCTGTATTAGATGGGAAGATTTTGTTTCTATGCAGTGAATGCATATTAGAAATCTTGCTGTTTGGGGCTTGTTTATAATACCTTTGTGGGATGCAGTGGCTCAGTGGCTAAGACACTGAGCTTGTCGATCAGAAAGGTCGGCAGTTCCGCGGTTCAAATCCCTAGTGCTCCATAACGGAGTGAGCTCCCGTTACTTGTCCTAGCTTTTACGTTCAAAAGCATATAAAAAATGCATGTAGAAAAACAGGAACCACCTTTGGTGGGAAGATAACAGCATTCCATGCGCCTTCGGCTTTTAATCATGCCAGCCATATGACCATGGAGGTATCTTCGGACAGCGCTGGCTCTTCAGCTTTGAAAAGGAGATGAGCACCGCCCCCTAGAGTCGGGAACAACTAGCACATATATGCGAGGGGAACCTTTACCTCAGCTTGTTTCACCTTCCAACTTGATGTAAACCTGTTACAAGAGTCTGCTGGCATAAGTAGAAAAAGGAGGCAGAGTACAGAATTCTGATGAGTCATTGTGTGTTTGAAAGAGCTTTGCCACCATAGTGTGCACAGAAACACAGAGAAAAAATATGTTTCTTTTCTCTCTTTTCTTTTTTTAAGATCAGGAAGAGATATATGAATTTAGACCCAGACCCAAGAAGGCAGAATAGGTTCTGATTGGTTAACAGTTATCTGTCAGCCAATCAGTTCTCTAGAGATATTTCGTACTGTCCTGACAGGGCAAGCCTCATTGGCTAGTGTTTTTCCTTGACTTGCAAATATGAAACATGCCTTCCCTCATGACAAGCAAGAAAGTGGTTTAAACATTGTAGGTTTTATGTACACCTGATAAAGTGGATTATAATTAATAAGAATGTATACCAATATTAGTTTAATTCTTTAAGATGTTAGCAGCAACAAACTAACATCACTATCCATCTGATATTTATGAGTTCTAAGATGGATACAAAATACAATTGCTTCACTGCATCTTTACCAATTTCCAACAGGGTTTTTGTTTGTTTGAGAAAAATGCAAAATGAAATTAATTGTGTAGTTAAAAGTGATTACAAACAAATGTTGCAATTTATATGAGTTGAACCTGTTTAGAAGATGCTCTAAAAGGAACTGAAATCAGCATAGCTTATCAATATCCATCTGTATAGTTTAACAGCATCCCTGTTAAACTTCCATTATTTCTGTTATTTGAAATCAAACTAAACTAGGAGAATTTCAGAGTATAATGAAACTTGAAACAAATGTGAACTATCTAGATATTTGGAGTTATTTTAGGAGATGTCATCCTACTTTCCAGTGGACATAAAATAGAAGCTCATAGAACTACTGTTTGTCATTGTCCACTTCAGAATCCTGGATGAATCTCTCCCTGAGGTATGCTACTCATAATGTAAGCTATCCCAAGCTAGTTTTGAAAGTTTCACGGGCAAATTTTGAGTTACTCAGAAAGGAACTGGGTGTGGGTTTCCTTCCTGGAATCAGAACTGGCAATCTTTCTCCACTGTTTAATATTACCACCACTTTCTGAAAACATATTAAAAGGAAATATCTTAACAATAAAGGAGCTACTTCATAAAACACTAATTTAGTATTGTTTGGTTTGCCTCAGAAGTACAACTTGATTTCGTAGACTATGCTCCTTCAATCCTTTTACCTCCTTGTGTAGATACATTTGTTTGTTTTATTGAGATTTTAGTACAATATATAATAAGTGTTTTAAGTGACAAAATGAGAACGATGTAAACTTACTTTACACTGTCCCTGCCAAAGAAAAAAAAATGAGATACTTAGGAAATACACAAACACCCAAAATTGAAATTCTAGAATAGTAATTGGATATATGTCTTAGAAATGCGTATTTGTATACTCTTAATGACGCAATTCAGTGCTGTTGGAATGTACAAACTTCTTTCTCTGTTACAAAGTAACAATCCCTAAAAAACCAAATGATGTTACTTCCAGGTAAATATCTGTTTATTTGGCTATGAATATTTGCTGACAATGAGGATCCGGAAACTTTATGCATGGTGGCATGTGTTGGATTTTTCTACACATGCTACCTACATGGAAATCTTGGGACATATCCACACAGCACAGCAAAGGGATTTGAAAGTAATTGTGTAGATGGATGTGATCTGTAGACATTATTACAGTATTTAGACTTTAAATCTTTGTGACACAGTTGACTCCTCAAATTTAGTGATCATGAAATAAAAGGAGAGATCCTCTTTTGGATCAATGAATGGTTGAAGAAAGAGAAAGTTAAAGTAAAATGAAATGTCCAGAGATGATAAGAACAAGTATTCCAGCATTGGATTGGTGCTTTGAACTTGTTTATAACTGGTCAAATTTAGAGATGTTGGAAAACTAATTTACTAAAAATGTAAGATGGCTTAGGGTGGACATTTAAATACTAAATACATTTAGTAGACCCAGAAAGGTCTTCAGTTTGGAGTATTGTTTTGTGTTAAAATGGCTAATGCAATTAAATTTAAGAAAATGTAGCATCCTGCATATCGGAACTAAGCAGTCTAATTTTTGTCTATACTCTGACAAGTTTTGAGTTAGCAATGACTAATAAGGAAAGAGATCTTGATGGGATGAAGTGACACTCAGTGAAAACACTATACAATTGTTCAGTTGTTTGGTGAAAAGAGCAATTTCTGTCCTAGAGGCCATTAAGAAAATAAAATAAAATCTGTCAATATTGTAATGCATTTTTGTCTGTGGGATTTCTATAGCCACCTATCTCAGTAAATGATTATGCAATCTTGAATATAATCCCAATTAAAAATGTGATATACTTTTCTCATAATTAAACCTCAAAAATATTTTAGAGATGTAAAAATGTAGGAAGTGGTAAGTAGAATAAAAAATCTGGAGTAACATGTAAGACTATCTTTCTTGGATTGTTTCTACCCATTCTATTTTTTGACAGAAGAGGCATACTTGGAGCACTGTTGATTATTTAGCAAGTTCCAGAAAGCAAATCTTTTCTGTCATAGGATCTGTGCCCTTTGGAAAAATTCTCCCCAGAATTAGAATGGCCCAGATCATCCCAGTTTTTCAGAAAGTTTTTTTAAATTTAATGTATTTCCAGACATGGGGGTTGGGAGGCTAGTTAGCGCCCTTGAAATCTTGCCATTTTATTGTTGATTGGGTTTTGCCCTCAATTGCCATTGGTCTTTATATACTGTTATTTACTATGGTAGTACTTATTTGATAATTGTGTTTTATGTGGGGTTATGTTGTCACAGCAAGATGAGTGGCCATATAAATTAAAGATATATAATAAAAAAAGCACTTCTTTACCTTACACTTGAACTTACGCTATGAGTAAAACTGGGGATTTTTATAATAGAAAACAAATATCTAAGAGGATGGACATGGTAGTGATTTCTAAAATCTTGCATGCCATGGAAAAAATCTAGAGCCAAGTTTTTCTTTCTGTCAAACCCTCGATCAACTCATGAAGCCAACTTGTAGAAGATGAGGACATATTATACAAAAAGGCTAAACTTCACATACCAAGAACCTACCTTATAGAGCTGAGGTGGCGCAGTGGTTAGAGGGCAGCACTGCAGACTATTTCAGCTGACTGCTAGTTGCAGTTTGGCAGTTCAAATTCCACTGGGCTCAAGGTTGACTCAGCCTTCCATCCTTCTGAGGCGGGTAAAATGAGGACCCAAATTATTGGTGGCAATAGGCTGACTCTATCAACCACTTAGAGAGGGCTGTAAAAGCACTATGAAGCGGTATATAATTCTAAGTGCTATTGTTATATGCAATAATAAGACATAGTATGACGTGCTAGAGCAGGGAATTCTGGGAGCTGAAGTCCACAAATCTTAAAGTTGCCAAGTTTGGAGACCCTTGTGCTGTAGGATAAGGCCATCAGTGGTTACTGATCATGCTGAATTCACATTACTTCACAGAATGGAGATTTCCATTCAAAGAAATACTGCATTTATTGTGTGTGCTATGTTTCATTAGTTCTTACAATGTTATAATCTCATTGCTTGCAGAGAATAGAACCTTCTCCTGATGGGACTTAGGAAAAGGTGGCAGAGGAAATCCGTGAAAACAAGATGGAGGATGTCCCAGTTCCAGTTATTCTGCAGCATTTAGGTGCTTTCAGAAGACGCACTTTGCTTGAGCGGTTGGTAACCCCTGTGGGGTGAACCGAGCATCTCCAGTATACAGTACTTTTGCTGTTTGCCATTGCCATCCCATAACCTAGTCAGGCACTCTTTCCAAATGGTTGTTCGATATTTTCTTTAATGCCATTTTTAAATGGAAGCACGTATTTACAAGACGTATTTACCATCTTAATTGGTTGTTCTGAATCTTTCAAGCCAGAAAATAAACCTGCCAGATACATTATCTGGTAGCGACTTCCCTTTCCTAGAAAATCATGCATGCAGTCTGGCAGTGAATTTGCAGGCACAAACACTGCTGCTGTGTTTCAACATTTCAAAACAGTGGCTTCCAGACTGAAATATGGTCTACACACAAAACATGTTTCACACGGGAAAGCAAAATGTTGCCTAAAGTTTCATGTCACTTTTGCACCATCAATGAAATGTGTCGATTCTCCTTATTGCCAGATAAGTGGTAAGAAATGTTTATTCACATGCCCAGTCTCCTGTCACAAATCTCTGTTTGCAATGGACCATAAAAATGCCCTTGAAGGAGCTGCCCTTTGAAATGTGCAATTAGAAAGAGCTATTACTTGCTCTAACAAATAGCTCTCCCATTACATCTGACTCCTCAGAGCTGGACATGTCCCATAAGAACCAAATGCCATTCTGACAATAGCTTTTAAATAAGTACATCTGTGCAAAGAGTTTGATTTCCCCACCCCAAGAGACTAATCAATTGCAGTGCAGCCTTGAATTTTAATTGCTGCTTGTCAAATAATCTCAAATAACTTCTTTGAACTCTAAAATCCTCGTGGCTGATGTGCTGCTTGGTTATGTCTAGAACACCAAGGCCTGACAGTAATAATGATAGTAATGTTAAATGTACACATCACTCTAAGGCATGATTTACTTAATCATGGTTTCCTAAGTCTTAATGATTTGATTTCCACAATGTGCTAGGCCATCATCCCCCAGCCTATGATGAAGCATTCAATAAGCCAAGGTTAAGTGATACATATTGTATATAATATTGATATTAGACTAAACAAATATGGGGACAAATCAGTTTCCTGTCTGTCTCCCCAATGCACATTAAACATAATCACTGTTCATAGGATCTTGATGCAGCGACTATGTGTATGTGTCTAACAATTTTCAAAAGTTACCTGAAAATAAATGGAGGAATAGCTAGTTGGCATGACCCCATGCTATCTCTGGTGTCCATTCAGTCTATTCCAAGGTAGCTTTTGCATAAATCAGAGGCTCTAGGACAGAGGTGTCAAACTCACAGCCTGCGGGCCAGATGCGTCACATGCTGGCCATGCCCCCCTCGATTTAGCGAAGGGGGAAATGTCCTGATATGTCACATGACAATGACATGACGATGTGAGTTTGACACCCCTGTTGCAGCATTCCTGATTCTCTGCCATGTTGGCTGGGTCTGTGGGAATGGCTGTTTATCCTGATTGGAGAACCACAAGTTTTCCAACATTGTCTTACTTTCTTGAAGCAATCCATTTTGCTTATAAACTGCTGTTTTTGCCATTGCTGCTTCTGAGGATCAAATCTCTGGAGAGCAGACTCTTGATGACAATTTGCCACTGGAATAAATTATCCACATTCAAGTCTGAGTTAAGTTTTCTCATTCAAGTTTACCTCAGTGTTAACTGATGGGAAGAATGAAATCTGATGTTAATTTGTAATGTATATTCCATATGGCTTTCATTTAAGTGCATTGTAAAGTTAAAGACAAGAAAGACTTTGGCATAATCTACTGTGCCAGTACAAACGCAGGATTAGCTGTATTGAAAGAAGGCAGTGAACAAATCCTCAAAGATAATTCTTTAAGAAAATAGGCTGCTTAAAAATCAAGATAAATACCTCAGTGGTAAAAGCAGTTCAAAATTAAATCAGTTATGGAGACAGATAGTAGCTTCTCCTTTATTGGAGATTTTCAAGCAGATACTGGCCCAATATTTAAGGATCCTGTAGCTCTGGATCTCCTAACTCAGTAGAAGGTTGGATTGCATGGTCTATAAGAGCTTTCCAACTCTGTTTTTATGATATCTCTGATCAACTCATATTTTATTAGTGTTTAGGAACAAGCACATGCACACAATCCAACATAACAAAGAAAAAAACATTGCTATTGGTAAAACACGAATAAATCCTAATGTACCATAAAGTCAAGCGTTAATCTTTTTTTTTCCTGTTATAAGGTTTATAAACAAACATTGTGATTATTATCATGGTCTCTGTAGATTTGTAACATCATTTCTAACATGAAGGACAGCGTCCATGTTTCAAGAAACTTTATTGTGACTCATAAAAAGTCTATTTAGGTCCTCATTAGCAAAATATCGAAATGCTGTACCCCAGCTTTTAAGCACAATATGAAATCATGCTGCAGAATCTTTGCAACATCCCTCTTGATGTGCATACAAAATCCAGATCATGCTTTCCTATTCAGATGTTATTCTATATAATTTGATGTCGTATTTTTATTAAAGAAATCATTTGAATGTCATTTGTGAAGAATCATTTTCTTTCCTGCTCATTATATGGGAGTGAGCTTAGAAATACTAAAATGGAGATGGGAGTGGGCTTTGTAGACACCTTGCAGGTCTTATTATGTATCTGGTTAATATTATCCGGTTATTATTATCTGATACAGAACAGGACAACGACATCGCCCTCTTCCCTTACATCAAAGGCACCACAGATAAAATCAGCAAAATTATCCACAAACACAATATCAAGACAGCCTTCAACACTGACCAAAAAATAGCCAACATCTTAAGAAACCCCAAAGACAAAATCCATCTAGAAAACCAAGGAGTCTACGAAATACCATGCAAAATCTGCTCTNAATAAAGAGCTGTTGTTACCGTTAAGCCTGTGTGTGCCTATCCATTACCCAATCTAACATGGATGTTTGGCAGCTGGCATATATTTATGATGGTTGCAGTGTTCCAAAGTCAGGTGATCACCTTTTGCAAACTTCTGACAAGAAAAGTCAATGGGGAAGCCAGATTTACTTAACAACCAGGTTACTAATAACTACAGTGATTCACTTAACTATAGCAAGTAAGGTCATAAAATGAGACAAAACTCACTTAATAACAGTCTTGCTTACACAAATTTTGGACTCAGTTGTGCTCCAAAGTTGAGGACTTTCTGTATATTCTGTGAAGAGGGGTCTGTCTTTGCCTTCTTCCTGCCTAGGGACTTACAAGCTCTGCTGTATCTTTGCAGCCCCTCCCTCCTGGGACTCCAGACTATATTCCACCACAGAGAGTGAGCTATCATTAGTTTGAAGGGCAAATCATTTCCAGAGGAAGGGAGCACTTTAGAGAGTGCCCTTCAATTTTACTTCTTGATAGGCAGGCATCTTCAGCAGGCCTTCACTATTCACTTGGATTGGGTGTGCAAAATCTCTCTGGGCTAGGTATTCTTGTGGATAGGCAGCAGGGGTGGGTTTCTCCCAGTTCGGCCTGGATCAGCGGAATCGATAGTGGTGGTGGCGGGAGGCTCTGCTCACACACTGGGACGCTTCTGTGCATGTGCAGAAGCATCATGCGCATATGCACAAGCATGAGTGAACTGGTAGCACCGGGATTTGAAACCCACCTCTGGTAGGCAGGGCCAGAGCTACATGCAGATTTATAAGTAATACTCTGCATCTTGAATTGCACTTAGAAATATGCCAATAGCCCCGTGATGGCTAACCTATGGCACGCATGCCACAGATGGCATGCGGAGCCATTTGTTAGGGCACGCAAGGCACTGCCCTGTCAGCCTTCTTTTGAGGACGTTTTTCGCCCTCTGGAGGCTTCTTTGAAAACTGGCCCTATGGACAAACCGGAAGTCACTTCCGGTTTGTTCGCAGGGCTGGTTTTTGCCCTCCGGAGCCTTCAGAGAAGCCTCCTGAAGGCCCCTGAAGGCCCTGGAGGTCAAAAATCGGCCCTACGGACAAACTGGAAGTCACCATTCCCGAACTTTCCAGTTCCCCATAGGTCCATTTTTCGCCCTCCGGAGCCTTCAGGGAAGCTCCTGAGGCCTCCAGGGGGGGGGGTTCTGAGGGGGTGGGGGAGGTTGTTTTTGCCCTCCCCAGGCTCCTAGAAAGTTTCTGGAGCCTGGGGAGGGCGAAAAAAATGTGCCAAAAACAGAGGGGGTCACTGGTCGTTCACACATGCATGCAGGGGGTGGTCACACGCATAGCATTATGGGTATGGAATTGGTACACCAAGCCATAGCTGGGAGAAGGTCCTCTGGACATGGCCTCCACCTGCTTTCCATAAGGATCCAAGTAGCCAGGAAGACTCCCAAATTTCAGGATAAATACTACTTCTTGAAAGCCAAAATTGGTGTAATCCCAGAATCAGTAGTCTTCTGAATAAATAGCCATTCATTCTTGCCTAGGTTGAATCAGTTCTGCATCCAGACTCTGACTGCCTTCATACATTGCATCTTCCATATTCCCCCATTCAGCCTGAACTGGAGACCTACAGTTCAAAACTGCTAATTTATCAGCCTTCCCAAGTAGAACGGACAGGTAACTTGATCAGATGAGCTAATTCCACTTTATTATAAAGCTGGATTAACAGAATCTTGCAAATCTGAAAGAACAATTCTGCACTGTCCCCTATCGCCTTTACCGCCTGATAACCTGAGAGACTCCTTCCTGAACATCTTGTTCTGTCCATTGTACAACTGTGGGCTATGCTCCCTCTTATCTGACCAATCCTTAGGCAGCATCTCTTCCTCCTCTCTCTCAAGGTCATCGCAACCTACCATTATACTTATTGATACCTTATCCTCATCTAGCAGATGCCCTCTCTCTGTAGCATCCTTCAGATGTTAAACAAAATGGGGGAAATGACTGCTTCTAGTCTAACTACCCCATAATTGACTGTCCAAGGGTCAGATTACCACTAAGGGGGCCTGCCTACTGAAAAAGGAGCACCAGCTTTTCCACATGGCGCCAGCATTTCCCAGATTTTGCAGGTGGCTGTATTGTGGTTGCCATGTTGTAGGCCAGTTACAGGCCCAGTAGGATAACTGGGCTCCCTCCATCCCAGTCTTGCCATATTATGTCCCACATTCACACCCAAAACCTGACTGCCACATATCCAGCTCATCTGCTTCTTCCAAGTCCTTTGTAATTATTGTTCTACACACACTTGGCCTTTGGGCTACATGGGTGGCTGCATTGTGCAGGTCATAACATCTGGACTTTGATTTTATTATTTGTTTATGTATTCTAAAATTTATAGGCCACCCATCTTGCTTCAGGGTAACTGGGTAGTTTATAGTCATTTAAAAATAAAAACTATATAAATTAATAACATGAAGAACCTACTACTAGATAAAGTAGAAGAATGTGGGTTAGACAGCATCACCACCAGATGNATGTATGTGTGTGTATACACACACACACACAAAATTACCTCTAAACCATCTCTCCACAAAATGCAGCAGCTGTGAAGATTTGCCAGTCAGCTCTAGCATCAAGCTGAAAAATATACAATATTTTAAGATTCCCAACATGATTCAACATAAACATGGAATTTAAAGTTCTTAAGGTAGAACTGACAAGCTACCTAAACATAATCCAATATGGGAATGAGTAAAGTAGGATGCCCACACTTAATGTCTGAGGAGAGGTCTGAGGGTCTAAAGTAAATACAGTAGATCCATTATCACTCATGTGAGCTGAACAGAGTTGTGCATGGCAGTTTTTATTTGGAAAACACCTATTTTAGGGTAGACTACATTTGTTTCCAGCTGTGGTTGTCCAACACTGGTTAGAGTTTTGGAGAATTCTAGGCCATGCTGGAATCACAGGTTGCCCACCCTGTCAAAAATGTTGCGGCAGGTATGTATTTAAGTACGGATTGCAGCAATTATGACTACTTAATGCTCATTTTATACATCAAGTATAGGAGTTGAAAATACCCTCCTTTTCAGCACTATCATTTTCAGAATTTCCTGAATCTTGATTTTTAAATCAACTTTAAGCTCTGGTGTAGCTGTGCCCTACGAATCAACATTGCCTTACCTTAATGCTTAGCCATGTAGTACAAGTAGTGAAATGAGTGTGGGGGTAATCCCTTAAGGAAATAAATCCCATTACAGTGAGGTTCTCTGATCAGATAAAAATCCCAGATACCAAGTTTGCCCATCGGGCAACTAAGGTAGCACTTTAAATGGATTTTTGTGCAGTCTTAATTGAATCTGGGCTCAGTTTCAATAGCACTCAAACAATGGGCCATTAAAACTCTGAATGTTTAAATTCTCCGTGTTTTTGCTGTGGATCCATGTCTGGATCAACAACTGTAGAACAAAGTGTGGTTAAAAAGAACAAGATGTGTAGCACAGGAAATTATAGTTCAGATTCATTAGAAAGATTCAAGACTTGATAGTTGTCAAGAAGTTCTAATGGGATCAGGAGGAAAGCTACATTTTTTTCTTCCTGAAAAGAACCATATGATTACTCTTACTAGCCCACTATGTTTCTTTGTGGCTTTACATTTTAATATTTTTGTTTTGCTCACTGTGGGTATGCATATCTAGCAATCATCTAAAGACTACACCCACACAGCAGATAAATTGGCTTGTAGTCCATGAGAGACTGTGCTAACAGGCACAGCTGTCATCAATTTATGACCATTTGTGAATGTGTTTTGAACGCAAACAATTACAAAACATGGAGAGGTTCTCTAAAACTCTCTACTACTGAATTAAAATATTGTAATTTGAAAGAAACTCAGGTCCAATTTATGAAACCCAGCAGAGAAAATACTTAAGGCTGCATTCTTATAGTTACCTGAGGGCAAGATCTATTCAACTCTGTGGGATTTGCTTCAGAATTGCTGGATTAAAATATATTTACTGTCCAATCATTGGGGTTTCTTTGGAAAAAGTGCAAAGGTTATTCAAAGTAATTAAAAGCAGTAAAGCAATAAGATAAAACCAGTAGATTACATTAGTAAACAACAACCAGTACCATAAAAAGGAGAGTAAAATAAAAATGTTATTTAAAGACTCCTAACCTAAGCTTCTCAGAAACAGATCTAAAGTCAGGGAAAAGCAGCAATGAGTTCAGTGAAATCAAGGTCAGAATCATCTTTGGAACACATTAAACAATGTCCAGAGTTTTCCAGGAACATCTTAGCAAAGTGAAATTGCTGCTTGTTCCATTTTTTTCCACTTGAAAAAAATAATAATCGGCAAGAGCCTGTTACCAAAACACCCCCTTGAGTTGCAGTTCCATAAATGATTGTTGAGTTTCCCTACAATAACATGTAGAAAAAAAATCCACCTCATAGTGTTATTGTTTCACACCTCTCACATTGCAGGAATCTTAATTTTCCATCCAAACAACAAAAAAAGTAGGCATGCACTGGTGACATCAGCCAGGGCTGGCCAACTCAGAGCCCATGGGGACATGTGATACCCAGCCTTGTTTTTGTAGCTCTTAGCACCTTCCCTTCCTCCTTCAAGATTGCACGACCAAAATCAGGTGGAAAATTGCTGATATTTAGCAACATGGTTTTTCTTAGTCTGCGGGTATGTGGAAAGTGGCAATATAAATCCCAAAAAGAAAAACAGAATAAAAATAGAATCCGCCTGCAAGATCTTCTAATGAGATTGTGGTATCACTTCCTGCAGAGCTCTTGTTTTTTCTTTTCTTGAGGTTTTTTTTTTTTGTGAAGTACAGATTGCGAAAGAAAAAAAATAGCTCTCTCTTCTCTGATATGAACGCATATTTTACTGCCAGGGTCACCTCATAGCAAACTGTGCAGGGGCATTTTGTACATTGAATTACTGAGGAAACAACATTAGGATGCATCCTCCCTTCCCTACCTCAGCAATGTATTTGGGAAAAGTCTCAACCTGCCAAAATGCCCTTTTCTAAAAAATTAGAGGAATGAGACTTCTAAAATGAGGATCATGACCTTAGCTTCTTGACTATTATATAGTATGGGAATTAATATAGAGACACAACTTTCTGAAGCCTAGTTTGACTTTTGGACATCTCTGAAATATTTCAGAAAGTCTCAGCAGTTGATTTCATGCTCCAGAAATATTAGATATGATCAAGGATCTTCCTGATACATTAATGGCTTTACTATGCCATGTTGTTATCTTTATTTTGTTACTTTATGGTACTCTTCCCACTGTTCTTCATCCATCCATCCTTATAACAAAAGTCAAAGAGTTACACAACATCTTGTGATTGCTCCAGAAGTAGCCTTTTCTGCAAAAGTATTTCAAATCTCATGCAAATTTGTATGTACACAATGTAGCAGAGTTTGGTTTTGTCACTGTTGTGTTTCTGTCCTAGTGATCAAATTTTTTAAAAAAAATTAAGGAATAGTTTTTTCCCCATTGCTTGATATACAGAAACTTTTAAAAGAACTGGGCATCCCAAGAATCCACAAAATTGTAATACATACAAACAGTCCAAAGTGAGTAGTTACAGACACTTTTAATCAATCAGTCATAACAGTAACTGAATATCATATAGCCATTACTCCATAAAGGTGATTTATAAACTGTAGCCCCTTTGAAATTAATGGGGATTCCTGGTTTTAGTAATCTTTGGGGCATACATCATTGATTGGCATAGGGTCTTTAGAAGATTCCAGAAGGCCCACTCTCCTTTCTCCTCATGGCATCTAGTCATGTCAATATACTTTTTTTCCCTGTGTATTTAAATGAAAAAATAAATCTATTAAGATCAATAATCTGAAATGTGATGAAAACCTAAGGTGACCAGATGTCCCGCTTTGGCGGGACAGTCACAATTTTTCAAAATTTGTCCCGTGTCCCGCGGCATGTTCAAAAACTCCCAATTTTCCAAAAGAAAGAAAAGAAGCTGAATCATCAATTTTAAAAAGGACGCCGTTAAAAAAAAGTTTTTATTTNCATTGTTATCTCCTAATGATGGATGGTTTGGGCCTCTATGGCCCTGTGTTTATCAAGTAAAAAAATTCCTCTGGTTTCTTTGTCATCCTTTAAGCCAGCTCTCTCCCTGTGTTTAAAATGCCTTTACCAGCAGTTTATTAACTCTGGATGAATATTAGCATCCCTGTTGCAATTCTGACCAGGACCTCTGTTACTAATCTATAAATATACTCATGTTATAGGCATCACTTTTCCATCATTTATTTTCAAGTTATTGCATCCTTAAACCCAACTAACTTTTAAACTTTCTTATGCCGCTTTATTAGCCTACCTCCCTGTATGGTTGCTACTCTTATTTCTCCAGGTACACATCCAGAGAACTAAGAGATGCCCATGTATGTTAATTTGGCTGTATTTGCTCAAATGAATATTCTGTACCCCGGATGAATGCATCCACACCTGGCATAATGAATTACAAGAGGCTCAATGTTTTTAAACTTACATGTCAAACAATGCTTAATCATTCTAGCTTATCTAACTAACTATTGTACTTTCCCTGGCCTCTTAATAGATGTGATAGCCAAATACTTTGCTTCTGTTTTCTTCCCTCTGTTTGTTTGTGTGTGTGTGTGTGTGTGTGTGTGTGTGTGTGTGTGTTATAATTTAATTGACCCATTTACACTAGGTTAATCATAGCTAGACTAAATCTCACTTGCTCTTAACCTTGGCAGATCCTTTTACTATATTTTCTCCATATACCCTTTGCCTTATTGGCATCCATAATTAGTTATTCCTACATCTTTGGTCTGATACTGATATTCATTCAGTTTATGACTTGTTATCTGTTGGTTCTCTCTTCCCATTGTTTAAGAGTTAATCTGATAGACATTGCTATCTATTCATTGGGAAACCTAACTGTACTAATCTTTTCCCGATGATTCCCTTCCAATAATGACTCCTGCATTGCTATCTTGCAACTGCTTTTGAATAAATGGGGGGGAGGGCTTAGTAACCCACCTACCATTCACTTAAGCTGCAGAGACTTCTGCAGTCCTCTTCCGTGATCTGATCTCTACCCACTCAGCATGCTTTCCGAATAGCTCGGAGACCTCCAGCATAGCTATTCTGTTTTGAGCAATATGTTGCTTCTCCTGGCTTCCTCAACATATTCTCTTTATGCTGCCCTACTCCATTGTAAAACTTAAACCCATAGCTGAACCTTTATTAAAAACACCAACACAGCAGTACGGTTCTGGCTGTGGGAGGTGTGTATTTTCAGCAGCAGTGGTAGAATGAGCTATTCACTTGGTGTCTTAAGAGTTGGCCAGTCCAGTTGCCACTGATGTTGAGACAAGTCCCCTTCTTAATTTAGAAGAACTGAGTATATATTTTCCTGTATTTTTCATGTTTTAAGGCTATAAGCTTATTATTTTATATTACATTTATTACAGTTTTTATAGTACATTTGTAAGTTTTCTAGAGACATCAAAGGAGGGGGCAGCTTATATTTTCTAAATTAATGCATCGCATAACGTTCAGGATCAGGGGTGGCATTATGATACTTAATGGAAGGAAAGCTTCGTGTAAATAGCACCATTAAATTGCAGGTTTAATATTGGTTGTCTCCTCAATGAAGAAAGATACTTCCCGGTGTAGATTGTACTTTGCAATTTAAAAATGAACATGTATCGCATTTTAGTGGTCTTGTGAGCACACAATGCCTTCTCATCCATCTTGCCTGCCCTCGTATTATAACCAACATACAATTCTGTAAAATTGTCTACAGCAGAAAGCTTTTTTCACCAGGCAAAGCATGAATCCACTTGTCTGTATCTTTTCAGTATCATACTTTTTAAAGCTGGTGGCTGCTTTTTGAAATTCATGCATTATCCTGAAGTGTCTTCACCCTTAAAGATACACCCTCGGTTTAGATAAGAGAGTGGGTGGTTTCTTGAGTGACAGGAAAAGGTGGGATGAATTGGAGAAAGAGGGCAGGAGCTGGGAGAGACTATGGGAAAAGAGTGGGGGGTAGACTCTATCTCTGCCATTGGTTTCTCTGGAGACGAAAAAGCAGCCGAGAAGGTCTGGCTGGAAAAAGAATAACTGGTTGTTGGTATAGCCCATCAATCAACAATGCCATGGGGAAATGGGTGTTGCTATCCAGCAGTGCAATTGCTCCCCCCCTCCTCTTTCTTTTATGCAACTGGATGTATGAAATAGGGGTGGGTGGGAAACACGAAAGGCAATCAGGGACTCTTGGGTTAAGATGACTGGTCTGGCATTTTTGCATTTTCAGAAATCATTTGTATATTTCATTAGTGTTTAATTTTGATTCTAGGTGAACCTGGGAGCAGTTTCAAGGCAGAGTGAAGTTCTTTTGTTTATCTCTCTTCCTAGTCAAAGTTATGGGAAATGTCATGGGATAGTTTATAGCCAGCTGTGTTTCAGAGTCAGAAACCAGAACTGCTGGTTAATTGAGAAGAGTTCCCTGCTCCTTGTATAATTAGTGTTTGTGTTAATTGAAAAGTCCAGCAGGTAAGGGGAAGGGGCTGATGTGCTTGAGTGATTTGGCTGAGGAACGCAATTGTTTTTTCTCCTGTAATTCCACCTTGGTCTTAAATTAATGCTTTGAGGGAAGTTTTCCCCCCCCCCTTAACTCACATTTTAGATGTATTCTGTTTCATTCTACCACATAAATAAGTGCTTTGCTTCGTTTTGCATCCCTGCGAGTTAAAACTATACTAATGTCTCTAAGAAAAAAAACAACCCAATTTTGGTTGCTTTTAAAGTATTTTGGATAATGAACAAAGCTCATTTTAGACAAATGGAATTCCTTCTTAAGGCTTGCATGGCAAATTCTGAATACTCTTCTGATAATATTTGGATAGAAAACTGCACCAGCCAGACATGCTGTTTTACTCTTACATGGGAATAACATATGAAAAGCTTATTTTACACTGGCTTGTATAACCTTTTAATTGTGATTGTGGGAAGTTATTATGTTTATCTTGAGGAAAGCATCTCTGAATTTAATTGCTCTTTGTTTATAGAATGTTTACCATGCAAAAGTGTTTTTCATCAAGCTCCCAGAATAGCTTTGACTGTCTCACCGAAATATTCTAACACCCAAAGTATTTCAATTACCTGTACTCAAACATATATATGGTACTATTATTAAAAGCAAAGCCAGCTGTATTTATGCACAATGCAGTAGGTGAAATGATTATTTTAAGCAGTGAGCCTTGTAATTAAGCACAGCTTTAGTGATCCATTTTCTCCACAATGCTTTGTTGTTTTTTTTGTTCTAAAGATGAGACTAGGTTTTGAATTTTGTTTTTAAAAGATTCAAAATATTGATACTTAATTGATGACTACAGAGAAGCAGCACATCTCTCTTGCCTTGTCACTAGGTTTATAGTGAAAATTAAATCTCTGTACTACAAGTAGCCCTTGGGTTACAACAGTTCACTCAGTTCAAAGTTACAACAGCACTGGGAAATGTTACGCTTTCCACAGTTACAATATTTGTAGCCTCCCCATGATCATGTGATCAAAATTTAGCTGCTTGCCCGTTGCTGTGTCCCGGGGTCATGTGATCACCTTCTGCGACTTTCCGACAAGCAAAATCAATAGGGAAACCAGATTCCCTTAACAATAGTCTTACCAGCTTAACAACTGCTGTGATTCACTTAACAACTGCGTCAAGAATGGTCGTAAAATGGGACACAGCTCACTTAACAAATGTCTCATTTAACAACAGAGATCCTGAGCTCAATCGTAAGGATCACAATACAGGGCTACTTGCATTGGCTTACTTGTGGATGCTTCCAAGTAAAACTTGAAGATATAGCTAGATGATGATACTTGGAAATCAGCTATGGGTAATAATATTTCACTAGATACCATTTTAAATATTTCAGCTCAGGTATTTTATGATTGACACAACAGCTACCTGAAGTGAATGAAGCCAGTTAACTTAAAGATGCTGGAAGGCATTTTTTAGTATATCTATCTGTAGTTGCTGAGATGAACTATAATACTTAGAAATATTTGTGGCAATACTTAAAGTCTTTAGGATTTGAGAATTAGTTATTGTGCTGTGTTTTACTTTCATGATTTTAAATCTTATTTGCTCTTGAGTTCATAATGAGTAAGAATTTGGGCCCTGTGTGAGGTATAAAATTGACTGCAGTGTTTTCTTTTAAAACATGTTAGAATAAAAAGAGCCAAAACAATTGCAAATGCTTAGTGTAATGAAAAGATTTTCAAACATATGATGAGACTATTTTTTTTCCCTACCCTAGATCTACCCACAGGTTGGGAAGAAGCATATACTTTTGAAGGTGCAAGATACTACATAAAGTAAGTGAAGCTCAGCATGCAATATTTTGCTGAGCTGCTTATTACTATATATTTTGTCCTAAGAAGCCTTATATTCTCTTCAGAGTGCGGTTTAATGGCAAGATGGATGTGTGAGATAATCTGTAGAATGGGATTTTGCTCTGTAACAACAATGCCGTATGGCAGTAGCTTAAGGGAGAGAACAATGGCATATGTTTCTGATTCTTGCCGTGATCCTTTGGGGTAGGTGAAACTAAGGAATAGCAACTTGATCAAGACAGCTAAGGACTACAATATTCGTAAAGCTTTGTATCTAATGGGAAGTCCAGATTTCTCACATAAAAATCCAACTTCTGCACTTATCCTATATTTGGGCCTAGGATGTTTAAATATGCCTTTCTGCGCCATGGTGTTCTTATTTTGATGAAAGATGTACTATCGTTTGGACAAACAAAACATAAAACCCCACATCCATAGGAGTGTTGTATATGTTTGCCATCTTGAAATATTTATTGAAATAAATAATAAAGGTGGCTAAAACATCTAACAAATAAAATACACTTGCATTTGAAGAAAAATAAATAAAGAGTTACCGCTCACTGGCCCCTCCTGCCTACCTAATCTAAGTTTTAGATGACTGCATTTATCTGTTTATATCTGTGGCCCTGAAACTGTAGTTTAATAATAATAATTGGAGGATTTTGCAGTGTGTGAGAAATTTTATTATATAACTAGTTAATAACCCGGCGTTGCCTGGGTGTTTATTTATCCCAATCCTGTATTAGACAGGAATGGTGATGTCAAGTAGCAACGTAAATGCGGAATAAGCTGTCCTCCCTCCTTCCATGAACGTCGCCGCAATTTCTGAAGAGGCAATGGCAAGAGCAACTTCTCCCTGAGCCCTGATTTCTGCGACAATTACATTACTTAAAATGTTTTCCCTGTATCCCCAAAAGCGTAATTTCTAATGTTGGATTTCCCCCCTTACCAGAGGGAGCCCCCTTGTGGAATACTATGAAGCCGTTGCCATGGTAACTCCATTGCCCTGTACAGTAGAAGCCATTTTAAGGCAGTACAGTAGAAACCATTATAAGGCACAACAGGCTATATCTTAACAGAACACACACCCCAAGGGGTGTTTAGAGGTATCTTACCCCTACAGTATTGTTTCCAGAGAGTAAGTCATCTGTGTACCAAGTTTGGTTGAAATTGCTTGAGGCATTCCAGAGTTATGCTGGAACAGACAAACACACACACACACACACACACACACGTGTGTGTGTGTTTAGGTAGTTACCATAAATAGCATCATGGATGGCTAGACTATATACTTCTTTATCCTATAAAAGTTTGAGATGATCTCTGTGTGCTTCCTAGAGGTCCTACTACTTAGTGACAAACCTGGTGTTCCAGTTTTGATATTCTTAGGAAATTCACATATTTGTGCATTAAATGTGATCACTGTTTTGTACTCTACGCAAAAATATAACTTATTCCACTACATTTCCTAATAGGCCATTGGAATAAAATACTGCAGGATAATGTAGAGAAAGGGTGGAAAATGCTGAAGTTAGTAACATATTGGTTATTATGCTGTTTTTGTAGAAAACAACCCTTTTTGGATTTTCCTTTTTTTATGACTTTTGTGGTATGTTTAAGTACAGGATGTTATCAGTACTGTTAAATGGTGGGCATGTGGCTGATAATGCTTCATCATCAAGTTACTCTGTTGTCATTGAAATAATTATCTAAATATTATGCCAAAGCTCAGAAAGCATATGCTCCTCTTCTCTAAAGTATTCTTGACATAATTTGGTAATGAAATGTTGTGTGACTCTCTGGTGTAAATATGCATGTTTTGCAGAATGCATGGAGTTTATGTGGCGGAATGTAATCCAGAGTCTCAAGTGGGAGAGGCTCTTTCCCAGGGAGCAAAGGGACAATATAGCTTGCCATCTTCGATATGCAGGAAAAGGTTTTCCTCCCCAGAGGTTTACTGAGTATATCTAATAGAGATGCAAATAGTTGCTTTAGTCTGGCAAGATTCCTGCCTATAGGCGAGCAGCAATAAAGAAACTACTCTGAAGCAGCTCCTCACGTTATTCTTGGGGGCTGATGGTTCATGTCATACAGAAAAGGTCTGTGAGTGAGATGGGCGGTTTTTAGCAATAGCAATAGCAATAGCAGTAGACTTATATACCGCTTCATAGGGCTTTCAGCCCTCTCTAAGCGGTTTACAGAGAGTCCAGCATATTGCCCCCAACAATCTGGGTCCTCATTTTACCCACCTCGGAAGGATGGAAGGCTGAGTCAACCCTGAGCCGGTGAGATTTGAACCGCTGAACTGCTGATCTAGCAGTAGCCTGCAGTGCTGCATTTAACCACTGCGCCACCTTGGCTTTTAAACTTAATAAATACAGGTCCTCGACTTATAACTGTAATTTAGCCTGGAATTGCAGTTGTAGGTTGTGTCATGTGACCGACTTGATTTTCCAATTGTAGGCCGTAGGTTGTGTCATGTGACCAACTTGATTTTCCGATTGGAGGCCGTAGGTTGTGTCATATGACCGACTTGATTTTTCGATATTTCTCTGGTGGTTGTTAAGTGAAGCACCATGATTGTTAAGAGAACGCAACGGTCACCAAGTGAACCCATTGTGTGCAATGGTGATATTTCCCAGAAATCAGAAATAACCAGTTTATCTCCCCCCCTCCCCAAAAAAGGCCGTAAATGTGGGCCAGTTACCAAGTGCCGAAAATGTAATCACATGACTCAGTGGGGGAGAGTAGCCATCAGAACTTCAAATCTGGGTCAAAAATAACCTTTTTTGGTTTTGTCATAACTTTGAACTAAGTGACCTGTCGCAAGTTGAGGACTACCTGAAAATAAATACGTTTTTCACATAAATAATAAAAATATCAACTTTTCTACATTAGACTGGTAATCCATTTATTCTGGGCAGTGTGAAACATTCTTCAGAGATTGATTCACAAGATTTACAGCTGAATGTGAGATTCTTCTCTTGACAAGATCTCCCATTCAACTTTTTTATTTATTAAGTTTCTGCTCCCTTAAGGTAGATCAAATCAGGTAAAGCACATAAAATACAAAAATATACCAATAAAATGAAAATCATTGATTGCCAATTAAAAGCTGCACTATTAAACAAAACAGCCTGAATAAAATATGTTTTTCTGCCAGCTAGCATTTTTCCTTCTACTGAAAAGTAGCTCTACCAGAAAGCATTTTTTCTCGTTTTATTTCATAATTATAGCTCCAGTGCTGACAAAACTGAGAGAAATCTCTCTCTTGAAAATCTTAAGCTTTGAGTAGGTTTGTAGGGAATGTGCACTATAGTAAATGTGTGTTTCCAAATTTAAATATCATTGCCTGCACTTTGAAACAAGGTTTAGAAATAAATTAAAAGTAAAGGTTCCCCTCACACATAAATGCTAGTGGTTCCCAACTCTAGGGGGCGGTGCTCATCTGTGTTTCAAAGCCGAAGAGCCAGCGCTGTCTGAAGACGCCTCCGTGGTCATGTGGCCGGTATGACTAAACTTCGAAGGCGCACGGAACGCTGTTACCTTCCCACCAAAGTGGTCCCTATTTTTTCTACTTGCATTTTTCACGTGCTTTCGAACTGGTAGGTTGGCAGAAGCTGGGACAAGTAACGGGAACTCATTCCATTACACGGCACTAGGGATTCGAACCGCCGAACTATCAACCTTTCTGATCGACAAGTTCAACGTCTTAGCCCCTGAGCCATGTGTCCTCAGAAATAAATTAATGATTAGTAATACTGTTGGAATGTCATGGTTAGTTACAAAGAGATATAAATAAGTTTTCACAATAACTATCTGACACCTCAAAGGATCTAAGAGTTTGGCCTAGTAGTTTTAGCTGTATAAATTTGCTCATATTCTTTGCTTTCATGTTTAGAAATGCACTCAAACTTTGAACTGATATCTTTAGGATCTTTTGGATCTTTAGGATAATTATAATTTTCTGAGCATAGGTTGTATTTCAGAAAGCAAATGCCAGTTGTTTCGGTATAAGATTCATGGGTGAAAATTGTATCACAAAATTACTATAGTACAGATATTCTAGCACTTGACTGATCTTGGCAAAGATATGTGCACATGAAGCTTCTAATCTCAGCTGGTGCTGATTTGCCTGAACCATGAAGAGTTATTGTATTTGGGAAGAGCTACTGATCCCCAAGTAAAATATTGATTCCACAGTTCCTAATTTGAAATCTGCTGCTCCAAAATAGTTTCTTGCTTACAATTTTCATCCCTCTGTCATCTCTGCTGCCCTTTTGGCTTTCCTGACATGCAATTTTATCTAGGACATATTCTGGAACAATATGGCATGATGGTGAAAATAATTTTTGTGCTTGGACCTGAGATTCATTTGAGAGGTTAATGGCAGGGGTTCTATGTTGATGTGTCATAATTGAAAGTCCATTTTGAGAAATACCTGTATCCTGCAGTTACATAGGTGTTCTGACCCCCCTCCGTCCAATGATTAACGCCAACACAGGCTTACTGTTAGCCACGCTTTATTCACAGCAATTACTCACAGACAAAACATTGGCAGCAGCCCAGACTCCCACACACAAGAGATACAATACACACAAGAGCTTCTCCAGCTTGTAATGAACGGTTGTGTCCTGCAAAAAGTCTCCTCCCAAAGTCTCTTNATAGCATTGTTACATGATTTATATATTGCCAACCCAACCGTTCGATTATATTCCTAACAGTCTCTCCTTCCGTGCACAGTGTACAGGGGATTCTGGACAGCGCTAATTGTCCTGGCCATCACTGCCAGCCTTGTAGGGGTGTTTTTGTTGGTGTGCGGTGTGCCCTTTGTCAATGCAAGATTCTATAAAGTTGGAGGTGGATTCCTTATGGCTGCTGGTAAGTGACCAGTGCAGGGTTCACTGCTTTAGTGGAATGCTAAAATCCTAAGGACGCATGCGGAACAGAATGCAAGTGTGCCTAAGAAAGAGACTTGAAAG